GGAGGAGGAGGAGGAGGAGGAAGGGGTCAGGAAGGAGGAAATGAAGTAGGCAAAAGAAGGAAGGGAAGAAAAAGGAAAAACAAAAGAGCTAAAAAGAGGCTCTGGCTGGCTCGGTCGGAGGAGCCCATGACTCTTGATCTCGGGATTGTGAGTTCAAGCCCCACGTTGGATGTAAAGATTATAAACAAACAAACAAACTTTTTAAAAAAGAGGTAAAAAGAGAGAGTTCTGGATTGACACTGTCCACAATGGCAGCCACTAGTCAGGTGGGCTCTTGAGCCCTTGGAATGTGGCAAGTCCAAACTGAGATGTGCTGTGAGTACAACATACTTCAAAGTACAAAAAAAAAAAAAAAAAGAGAAAGAAAAAAAATCTCATTAATTTTCATATTACATATTGAAGTCAAATATTGGAGATATTGGGGTAAACACAGCATTTCACTAAAATTAATATCACCTGTTTCTTTGAGTGTGGCCAATAGAAAATTTTAAATTACATATATGGCTCCCGAGCTCTGCTCTAGGAAAAAAAAAAAGGCTGGAGGAAACTCCTGGAATCATGAAGAGTGGATAAGGAGGGGAAGGGGAGAGATCTCCTCTTTTTACCTTATTATTATTATTATTTTAAGATTTTATTTATTTATTTGAAAGAGAGAGAGAGGGATAGCACAGAGGGAGAGGGAGAAGCAGACTCCCCGCTGAGCAGAGAGCCCCAGGCGGGACTCAATCTCAGGACCCTGAGATCATGACCTGAGCCCAAGGCTTAACTGACTGAGCCACCCAGGTGCCCATTTACCTTATTATTTTTAACACCAAGGAAGTATTATGCAAGTAAAACCGCTATAGAGAGGTTAAAAGACATTTGGGGGAAGGGAAACTGTTCAAGGGGCTTGGGAATGTGAAGGCGAAGGGTGCCGGGCACAAAGAAAAGGGGTGTCCTCCAAATGGGGTAGCCCAGGGGAGGGGGCGAAGGGGTCCACCAGGCTTCGCAGCTGAAGGAGGCCAGTGGAGGAAGGGTGGTCTGCAAAGAAGCGCAAGACTTTGTTTGCCCACCTGTCCCCATAGGTTCATCTTTGAGAACCCCCGCGGAGCAGGGGCGTGGCAACCCAGAAGCCATGTGACCAGGCCCCGCCCCACCCGCCACTGATTGGCCCGAGCATGACACCTGACTCCGCGCTGGACCAACTGGATTCTCAATAGCGGGGATGTGAAATTGAACCGAGGCATGCAGGTGCTCACCCTGGACCCTGGAGGTGAAAGGCGGCGCGGAAGCTGGGGGCCATACGGCAACCGTGGCTGCAGCTGAAGCCAAGATAATGTGCAGACAGCCAGTGGCCCCTGAGAGGAAGAGATAGAGAAGCAAGGGAGGAACCTTGGCTCCTGATGTTTCATTTCCCAGAGCCGCTTTGTAACCCAGTGCGATTGTGGACGCCGTATTATGAAGGCAAAAATTAAGGCTCAGAAGCTCGATTCACTGGCCCAGGGCCCACAGCAAGTAAGGGGTAGCTCCCATTCCAATCTGGTTTTAAAATCGGTGCTGTTAAACACCCCCAGGATACTGCTGGGAACTCCCAAGACATGGGGGACACCAGCACCCCCACATTAAAGGGGAAGATATGGACAAACGGCCTCTAGAGAAAAGAATGGATGGATGGATGGATGGATGGATGGATGGATGGATGGATGGATGGATGGACAGACAATTTAAAAACCAGTGTTTCCTATTCTGTGCTGTGTCCTAGCACCTCTGCCCGGGATTCTCCAAACTCAGTACCCATCTTAGACCTCTGGCAAGGGAGTGCTACTCTGGACCCCATGCTCTTGAGGACTCTCCCCATTCCACCCCCCATTCCCAGGGGAATCCCTGGGGCCAAGGAGTTGTGCCCACCCAGAATCCACACCTCCGCTGGATATTATGCTCTGGGAACCTTGGGTAGGTAGAATAATGGTCCCCCAAAGATATCCACACCCTGGGCCTGGGTGGCTTAGTCGGTTGGGTATCTGCCTTCGGCTCAGGTCATGATCCCAGGGTCCTGGGATTGAGCCCCATGTTAGGCTCCCTGTTCAGTGGAGAGTCTGCTTCTCCCTCTCCCTCTGCCCCTCCCTCCCCCTTCATGCTTGCGCTCGCTCTCTCTCAGATAAACAGATTTAAAAATACGTATTTTTAAAAAAGATACCCACACCCTAATACCTGGAACTTGCGAATATGTTATCTTACACTGGAAAAGAGACTTTGCAGATGTGAATAAATGACGGATCTTGGGATGGGGGGATTAGCCTGGATTATACGGGTGGACCCAATGTCATCATAAGGTCCTTTCAAGAGGAAGGGGGTAGGGTCAGTCAGAGAAGAAGCTATGACAATGCTAGCAGAGTTTGAAGGATCCAGGGCCGCGAGCCAAGGAATGCGGGCAGCCTTGAGAAGCTGCAAGAGGCAAGGAAACAGATTCAGATGGGAGGACAAGGAGTCAGCTGTTCTCCTGGAAGGCAGAATTCTGAACTTGAACTTGTTTAGCCTTTCTGTTTGTTAAGGTCTATTTGTCAAGGCAGGAGGACCCAACATAATGAATGGTCGGCTTGCATGATCGATGAAGTTTCAGTAGTTCGACATAAGGTATGCGAGCCTCCGTGTGTACTCTTCTGCAAACGTTAGCAATCAGGCTGCCCCAAGTCTCAGCCGAAAAAGAAAAGCCTGTTACCCAAAATGCCTCCAGTTCACGGTGCTTCAATGGGGAGGGTAGAAGAGAAAGGGGCAGTTCTCTGCAGGGGGTGAAGTGGGGCAGAGAGAAAGAAGAGGTGACTAATGAGAAGGGGCTTTAGTCCTCAGTGTCCGAAATGAGAGGCTTGCGGGGAAAGAAGGCACAGAGAGGACACAGGGAGAGACAGAGATGAGAGAGCTTGTGAGCCCCAGGAGTCAAGAGAGAGGAAGTAGAGCCCCAGAAAAAGAAAAGAGGCAAGAGAGAGGCTGCCCGGTGGCACAGTTGCAAACTGCACAAGGGCAGGACTCTGATGGATGGCTTGGCTGGCACAATCTCCATTTGCAACCTCCCCCTCTGCCATTGTCTACAACAGAGCCTGGAAGGCTAACACACTCAATTTCCCAGCTTCCTTTGCAACTGGGAGTGACCATCCGACACACACTGTGAAATAGCCAGAAGTTCCTCAGAAAGGCATATTTTCCCCAATAAAAAGGCAAGGCCTTGCCAGGAGGAAATCCTCCACTTTTCACTCTTCCTCCTCCTTCTTGCCTGGAACCAAGATATGCAGCACGGCGGGGAAGCAGCCATCTTGTGACCATGAGGCAGTCACAATGAGCAAGAAGATCTAGGCACCAAGGTCAACAGAACAAATACATGGAAAGAGTTTGGATCGTTGATGGTATCTTTGAGCTATCGTGCCAGCCTTGGACTTCTTACTGAGAGAGAAAACGAAACCTCTGTCTGTTTAAGTACTCCTAAGGATCCAGGCGACTTACCTCTTTTATTGACTATTGGTATCCAGTGCAGGAACTGGGCCTGGCACAGAGTTGCTGCTCTTTAAAACATTTAAAAATGAATGAATGACGTTCGTGTTCCCACAAAGCCTAGCTTTCTTTTCTGCTACTGGTTCTGAGAGCCTCCCCTGCATTGCAATGCTTACCCAACCATCTTCCCTACAGCCGGTCGATTGGGCTTCTTTTCTTGCAGCTCAACAATTCCAATCAAGACAGAAGGGTAAAAAGGAGTGGCTACTTGAGGGGTGAGCTACTTGGGGAAGGTGATCCAGAGGATGTGATAGCCTCCACACTAATTCCTGTCCACCCATTCTCCACTTGTCAGCCAGAGGGGGCATTTGCAAACAGCAATCAGATCACACTCCTCCCCTACTTAGAATCTCCCCTCCTCCTGGCTTCTTGCTGCCCTTCGAAAAAAACCCAACCCTGACCTCAGCCTCAGCGTTCACACCCGTGTCCTGCTCTCATCCCTCTAACGTCAGCTCTCTGCCATCCAGCCACATTGGCCTTCTTGCTGTTCCTCCAATAATCCAAGACCACTCCCACCTCAGGCCATTTGCACACCCTATTTCCTCTGCCTGCAAAGCTCTACCTCCACATGTCCACCTGGCTAGCCCTCACCTCCCTCAGGGCTCTGCTCCACTCACCTCCTCCAAAGGCCCGCCCTGAACACCTTGGTGAATATATCCCAGTTCAGTCATGCCCTGGCTCACCATCACTTTCTGGATCATGCCGATTCTTCCGTTTGTCCGTTTCTTATAAATGTCCCACCTCTGGACCCTAAGCTCCCTTGAAAGCAGGGACTCTGGTCTGTTTCTTCACTGCCTGGCATAGACTAGGCGCCAAGAAAATAAATGCGTGTTGAATGAAGAAATCAAGGAGGAACAGGGAGAAAGTTACTGTGCTCAGCTTTGTTGTAACCTTGGTCTTGTACTTTGGAGCCTGAACTTAACTTTACCCCCATGATTTGGGAAACTGAAGTTAAAAAGCAAAACAAACAACCTAATCCAAGTATCCATTCCAGTGAGTTCAGATCTAATGATCATAATGAAAATAATAATATAGCAGCAAACACCCACAGCGAGCGAGCACCACTACTACCAAATAATAAATGAACCAATAATAAGAGCTATAATAATCCTCATAACAACCTTATGAGGCAGGTCCTTTTGCTATCCCCATTTTACAGAGGAGGAAACGAAGGCTCAGAGTGGTTGAGTAACTTGCCCAAGGTCACCAAGCCACGAAGAGACAGAGCCAGGGTTTGAACCCCGGCAGGCCAGCTCCGGAATCTGTAACTCCTAGATCTCTGAAGACACATCACAAGGACCCTGGTTCTGGAAGGGGGAGTTCACTCCCACCTTCAATGATCTACGTATGTCCTCCAAGCCGACACACCCCTAGCTGACCTCTGAGGCTGATGAGTGGCCCCTGGCCCCTCACTCTCTCCCGGCATCCTCAGGGCCCCCGGCAGCCCCCCCCACCCCCCAGCCCGAGTCTGCGCTGACCCTGCCTTGAGCTGAGTGAGCGCTTCCTCTACGCGGGGCTGGTTGTACCGCACCATATAGCTGTGCATGTCGGGGTAGTTGCTGCGGATGTTCTTCTCCGTGGACCCGTTGGGCACCGTCCCAAACTTCAGGGGCGGGTACTGCTCCTGGGGCCGCTGGAACTGGGGCAGAATGGGAAGTTATTAGGGCGCCCCCCTGGGGCCATCTGGGTCAAGAATAGCCTTGACCCAGATGCTCTGTTCTGGGGGACACCTGTCAACTGGCAGGCACCCCAGCCCAGAAATGTTTCTCCAACGTGCTCACCGTGACCCTTTTCTGCTCCCACCCAGCAGATCCATCTGCAGACAGCCACACGTATGCATGCAGACATGTACACACATATATATGTATACACAGTCAGGAGTAATATTGTAATATTTAACACCCGGCATGGCCTGATCATGGTCCAATCTGAAAAGACGCTGGCTACAGAGTTCATTGGAGAAGGGTCGCAGATGCCTCTGATGGGCCAGGCATTAACCCTTAATTTGCTGGATCACGGGAAGTCCCAGGGGCAGGGGTTGGCACGGTGGGGGGTGGAGGCAATTGCTAATTACCAATCCATTCAGAAATAGTTCACTCTTCTTTTTTTTTTTTTTTTTAAGAGAGACACAGAGAGAACTCGTGCACGTGCAAGCCCGGGGGGGCGGGGGGTGGTAGGGGCAGAGGGAAAGAGAGAATCCTAAACAGACTCCATGCTCAGCATAAGCCCAATGCGGGGCTTGATCTCACAACTCTGAGATCATGACCTGAGCTGAAATCAAGAGTCAGATGCCTAACTGACTGAGCCACCCAGGCGCCCCAAAAGTTTACTCTTTTAACAGCACACATAGCCATACCGGTGTGGGCTGGCTCAATGTCAAGTGCGTATATGACTAAAACAAAGATGCAGACATATTTTCTATTCTATTCCATTAAAAAAAAAAATACTTGTCAGGATGCCTGAGTGGCTCAGTCGGTTAAACATCGGCCTTTGGCTCAGGTCATGATCCCAGGGTCCTGGGATCGAGTCCCAAATTGGGCTCCTTGCTCAGCGGGGAGCCTGCTTCTTCCTCTGCCCACCGCTCCCCCTGCTTGTGTGTACTCTCTCTCTGACAAATAAATAAATAAATAAAATCTTTAAAAAAAAATGCTTGTTGCAATCCACTGAACTGACTTCTCAATCTTCTTTCTTTTTTTTAGGTTTTTTTTGACAGAGAGACACAGCGGGAGAGGGAACACAAGCAGGGGGAGTGGGAGAGGGAGCAGCAGACTTCCCACGGAGCAGGGGGCCTGATGTGGGGCTTGATCCCAGGACCCTGGGATCATGACCTGAGCAGAAGGCAGACGCTTAACGACTGAGCCACCCAGGCACCCCTGATTTCTCAACCTTCTAATAGGTCATGATACCCAGTTAACCACTTTAGTCTCAAAGAGTGGTCTGCAAACCACCAGTCCCTGAACAAACTGTGGTCTGGATGAGGTAAGTATAGAAATCGAGAGAATAAGCACTTAGAGCAATTTTTTTAAAGATTTTTTTAAATTTGTTTATTTTTAAAGTAAACTCTACACCCAGTGTGGGACTCGAACTTACAAGCCCGAGATCAAGAGTTGCATGTTCTACCGACTGAGCCAGCCAGGCGCTGCGCATTTATTTTATTTTATTTTTTTTTTTAAGATTTTATTTATTTATTTGACAGAGAGATAGAGAGAGAGCACGAATAGGCAGAGAGGCAGGCAGAGGGAGAGGGAGAAGCAGACTCTCCACTGAGCAGGGAGCCCGACGTGGGGCTCGATCCCAGGATCCTGGGATCATGACCTGAACTGAAGGCAGACGCTTAACCGACTGAACCACCCAGGTGCCCCCAGGCGCTGTGCATTTAGAGCAATCTGACAGAATAATTTTTATGTCTGTTGAAACCACATAAAAATTTGGGTTTGAATTGCGCATGTCTTGGTTTTCAATTTTATGTTTCTCTTCTCATAATTCATTTCTATCGTATTTTACAAAAGCATTGATCTCCATTGGAGGAAGTTCGGAGATTAGCCCTTCATCCCACTTTGAGAGAAGCACTACACCAAATGGGATATCCCATTTGGCACTACTGCCCCACCCCCCACCCCCAGGACGTTTGGGGTCACTCTCTTCTCCTGGGAATATTTAAACAGTTCATTGTGAAACATAACCTTTCTATTCCAGAACATTCTATTCTACCATTTTGGAATTCTCTTCTGACCTCCCATGTGCCAAATTCTGGCCTGACCTCCAGCCCCAGCCAGCTCCCCGTCTCCCCGAACACACACACCTTTCGATCGCTGAGCCCAGACACGGTGTCCACGTACTCCTCCTGGATCATGAAGGCGGCCAGGTTGGCTGTGTAGCTGGCGAGGAAGATGACGGCGAAGAAGGCCCACACCAGCACCATGATTTTGCTGGTGGTTCCCCGGGGGTTCTCCACGGGCACCGAGTTATTGAACACCAGGGCCCAGAGCAGCCAGATGGATTTCCCAATGGTGAAGGTTGAGCCACCAGGCCCTGCAGGGGGCCAGGAGGGGGACATGGACCCCAAATCCCTTCTACTCCATGAGAGAGCAGAAAGAACTACGATTCCCAGCAGCCCCCAATGCCTCTACCCCAGGGGCTGTTGGGAAATGTAGTTCTATCTGTGGTCCGGGTGCTCTGAGGTGATGGAGGAAGGGGACTCACGCTTGCCCGTGGCCAAGCTGCGGTTGTAGCCGACGGGACTGAGGTACTCGAAGATGAAAACGGTGACGGCGACCACAGTGAGGCACATGACGAACATCATCACCCACACGGCAGGGCTGTAGGGCTCTGGGGGCAAGGGGGTAGGGGGTCATGGCTCAGCCAAGCAAAGGACTGCGGGGACCACAGACACGTGACCAAGGTGCAATCGCAGCCTGGGCCTTGTCCTACTCTGTCCCCTTCCCAGGCTCCCCATTGCGGGGACAGCCTCATTGCCCACCCAGACCCCTGGGAGACAGTCTCTCTCAAAGAGAGCCAACTCAACCATTTCTGTGGTTTCAGTCACCAGATATATCCTAAATGTTTCCTGAGCCCCAGACCCGAGTCTCCCCCTGGCAGCTCACCATGTTCCACACTGAGGCCAGCACTGACGCCCAGGCTCCCCATCCTGGGAGCCCCACCTTCCATCCAGTCACAGCCCACCCCCCCATTTGTAGCCTTGCCCCCTCCTTCCCGCCTTGCCCCCTCCTTCCCGCCCTCCCCCTCACCAGCCACAGCCTGTCCCCCCCTCCCTGGCCTGATCACTCTCTCAAGAACGCACTGCTTTAACAGGCCAACTGACAGTTTCAGAGTGAGCCTCACCCTCTCTGCCTTGTCTCCACCGCTCCCCTGCCAGGGGCACCACCCTGACCTATCGACCAGACACGCTCCCATCCATGTGTCTCCTCCTCACACTGCCGCTGGGAGTTCACTGACAATAAACCCAAATCACCACTTCCTTGAGATTCCTACCAGGTGATCTGCCCTCCCTGGGCCAAGCGCAAGCGGTCACAGCAGGGTCACCGCCCCAGACTGTCACTGCGGCATCTGGGGACAGTCCTGTTGCCTCTGCTGGGCAACATGGTGGGGCATAAATATGACCTTGTCACAGGGGCCCCATGTGGCACATCTCAGGGTGCCCTGCAGAGACCTTGGTGCCACAGAGATGTTCTCAGCGAAATATACAGAAACCAAACGCAAAGGAAGAGATGTCCCTTCTCCCAGCCTCCCACTCCCAGGAGCTTTGCCCAGACTTCAGAGAGCAAGAGGGAGCTGACGTGAACGGCTGCCCTTGGCCTGATGTGCACTTTTCCTTCTCTTGTCACCAAGTTCAGTGAGATCCCTACCCAATCCAGCTCACGGCCACCAACCCAATGGGGGCCAGCTTCTTAACCACACCCCCAACCCTGGTTACTCGCCTCACCCTTCCTATCCCACACCCATCTTCCTATCCCACACCCATCTCCTCTCTGCATGGACCTCTGCCTTCTCATGGGCCTCCTGCCCCCACTGCCTCCGGTGGGATATTTTTAAAAGCCTAGATCTGATCATATATCCCCTCCCCCACCATCTACAGCTAAAACCTTGGCCACTGCCATAAGAGTAAAACCCAACTTTCCTACCAGAGCCACCAAGGCCCTGCATCTCCCCCGCCCCCCGATGCTCCCACCCCCCAATTCTCTCTCAGCCCTTGTTTCTCACACCCTCATGATCACTCACTGCCCCCTCCAGCCACACAGACTTCCGGCCATTTCCCAAACACTCCACACACATTCCTGCCTTGGGGTCTTTGCCCTTGCTGTTCCCTCTGCCTGGAATGGTTCTCAGGCCCAATCTCCAAAGGGGCCTTCCTGCCCTCTCCTGGCAGCACCAATCCCATTCCTCTCCACCTCCCACCCTGGCTTAATTTCTCATACTATTCATCACCACCTGAAATGATCTTGTCCATGTATCCCCTTAAGAGATTATTTTCTGTCTTCCCCACAAGGCCAAGAGCTCTTAGAGGACACAGGCTTGTGTGCGGGGCCCAGAGCCTGGCACATGATAGGTGCTCAGTAAACACTGAGAAGTGAGTGGAGCACTTACCATGTTCCACTACCATGCTAATCTCTTTTCCTCATCTCATATATAGGGGAAGACTTGGGGTTTGTGGGGCCTGAGGCTTATACAATGTGGAGGGTTGTCTTTAAGAAAAAAAGAACACAAAATTATGAATACAAGAATACAAGGTACAGGGCCTTGAAGAGAATGTGCGAGAGAAGGGTCCTGAAGCTCAGTTTCCTTGGCCTCATGGCAAAATGGCTTCTCCCATTTTACAGATTGGGAAGCCTAAGGTGAGAAGTGATGCCACCTCACCAGTCACACCACGGGGACAGGCAATGCCAGGATGGGAAGTGTTGCCGTCCCGGGGGCCCGGGCTCACCGAGGAAGGCCGAGGGGGACACGGTGCCGTTGCTGCGCGCCACCATGACGCTGATGCCTGTCTCCACGAAGGGCACAGAAAAGTCCACGATCTCGGACCGCTCCTCGTTGATGGTGAGGGAGCCGATGGCCATGTCCGCGCGCTGGTAGAACACCTGGGGTGAGGGCGAGAGGGGGTGAAGGAACCTGGCTGGCTCAAGCGCATAGAGGAGGATTGTGGGCAAGACCTGCCCCAGGAGACCAGTGACAGGGTGAGAGAGGCTAGGAGGGTGGCAGGGTGGCGGAGGGGGACGCAGAGTGGGGCAGGAAAGGAGGAGGTGAGAGGCGGGGAGCAGGGGTTGGAAGAGGTCGCCCCAGGCCCGGTCATGCTCCCAGAACAAGCTCTCTGGATTTGGGCTCCATTCTCTCGGCCCCGCCCCCTTCGTTTAGGAGGGCCACCTCCTGGCCCCGCCCCCTCCACTCCACAGGTCCCTCCTTGTGGCCCCGCCCCTCAGCCGAGGCAGGTCTTGGGTGGCCCCGCCCCCTCAAAGCCCGGGCTTCATCTCCTTTTGGCCACGCCCCTCCAGCCCGAGAGCTCCGGCGCCGTGGCCCCGCCCCAGCCCGCCTCCTCCCATCCGGGGTCGCCCCACCTCGCCGATCATGCCGTTCCAGACGCCGTCGATCTTCTTTCCGTGCTTGCCGTTGGTGACCAGGTAGAGGTCGTAGCTGAAGCCGATGGTCTGCGCCAGCCGCTTCAGAATGTCGATGCAGAAGCCCTTGCAGCACCGCTTTTCCGGGCGGGGGGCGTCCGGAGGAGGGCTGCGGGGAGCAAGCAGGCTTGGGGATGCTGGGGACCCCCCCCCCACTTCAGACTCTCCCATGAGATGAGGGTATGGAGGGAGAGACAAGAAGCAGCTAAAACTATGGTTAGCGCTTTCTGGGGAAACTGAGGCTCAAAGGAGTTCCGTGACTTGTCCAAGGTGACTAAACTGGAGGGCTCTGTGGGTTCTGAGTTCCAAGGAAGGAGGGGCCGGGGGCCAGGACTGCTAGGCTTCAGGGGGTTTGGAAGCCGGAGCTCCTGAAGCCGGGGCTGTCACCTGTGGGTGCGGTTGAGCTGGCTCCGGCAAGGCACGGAGTCTCGGATGCAAGTGCCGCTGATGGGGTCGGCGGGCTCCACAATGACAAAGGGCCTCTCCTCCAGCGTGGCCACAGTGAGGTGCTGCGTGTCATCCACTGGCTGCAGGAAGCGGCCGTAGCGGGACCACAGCGGGTACTTTAGGCGGAGAGTCTGCTGCTCCCAGCTGCCCACCTTGGCCAAGAGAAGGGGATTCAGGCTCCGGGGCGGGGACTTTGCAGGATGTCCTGGCCATTGTGGCCCTCCTTCCTCAGAACCCCGGACTTCCAGCTCTTTCTCCCTTAGATCCAGGAGTCTAGGCCCCATTTTCCCCCTCCCCTTAGAACCCACGGGTCTGGGCTCCCACTTATTTCTCCCAGGACCTAGAAGCCCGGGCTCCTTCCTCCCTCAGAGGCCAGAGTCCTCATCTCTGTCAGGACCTAGGTGTCTGGGTCCCCACACCCTCTCCCTCAGTACCTGGGACTCCAGGCCCTCTCGTGTGCCTGAGGTTGGGGCTGGGACTCACCACCTCCCAAGTCCTATCTCTGGTGAGGGAGATGACCACCAGAGAGGGGTTCACCAAGAAGCCATCCTCATTGAAGGAATAATCCCGGTTATCCCAGGTAATATTCATGAAGTACCTGCCCAGGAAGAAGGGAGGGGACATGTGGGTACCTGGACTGGACCTAAGTGGCTGAAGGCAGAGATAATCCCCTTTCTACTGACCAGCCCCGGCCCCTAGCTGGAATCTCTCCCCCAAGATCCTGAACACCCAAATATGCCTCTTCTTTGTTCAGCCACCTCTGCTCGCTACCCAGCACCTCCTGAACAGGGTCGTAGACCCTCAGCTTGAGTTTGAGGTCCTCTTAGAGACCCTGTATGTTCTGGCCCCATCTGCCACAATGACAAAGGGCCTCTCCTCCAGCGTGGCCACAGTGAGGTGCTGCGTGTCATCCACTGGCTGCAGGATGGGCAGCCATCTCTGATCTCTGATCTCTTCCTCCCCTCAAACTCCTTCCACCCCAAGCCCTTTCTGTACCCCACCAACACTGAATGCAAAGTGTCCCCGAAACGTATCATGCGGTTTCCTATTTCTTGACCATTGTAGGTGCTGTGCTTTCTGCCTGGAAAATGCTTTTCTGTCCCTTCTCACCCTGATTGATTCTTATGTCTTCAAGATTCAGCTCAAGTGTCCCTTCCTCTGGGAAAAGCCCCAGAAGGTCTCTGGACTCCCAGATAATCTTCACGATGCAACGGGACATGTACCATGAATGCCTGTCCCCAGGCCCTGGTCACTGCACTGGACACTCAACTGCGATCCTCACCTCCTCATTCCCCCCCCCCAGGATCTCCATGTCATCCCTCCTCGCCATCTCCACAGACCCCCTGGACCCCAGCCCCAGCCTCCTGCCTGGTCCCCAACCTCCATTTTCTCTCCTCCAGTCTGTTCCACACTCCACCTCAAAGGCGTCTTTCTGTATGCAAAACTGACTCCACTCCTTTCCTGCTCACAACCCACCCATGGCTCCCCAGTGCTCCAGAACAAAGTCCAGCCTCTCAACCTGGTATTTGAGGCCCTTGTGGTCTGGCCCCATCTACCCCCACCCCCAGCCTCATCACCCCCAATCCCAATTCTCCTACCTTCATCCCCTCTGAGCTGTTGTGGTCCCAACCTGCCTGAGTTTTTCTCCCCTCTGGGCCTTTGCACGATGCTGTTCCCCCTGCCTGGAATACTCAGTATTTTTGGAGAACTCCTAACCGCTCTTAGAATCAAATCCAAACTCCTTAGCCTGGCCAAAATGCCCGACATGAGCTTGGGCCTACACGGGCCTCGCTTGCTTCTCCATAATACCCTGTCCCCCCGCCTTGCTCACTAAGCTCCAGTCACGGTGGCTTTGTTTCAGGCTCCCAAATAGGCAATTCCAGCCCGAGCGAGCGACTCTGCACCTGCTGTCCCCCCTCCCTTCTCCTCATTCAGATCTTCCAACAGTTGGCTCTTTTTCTTTGCCCATTTTTTTTTCTCACCTCCAAATTTCACCTACTCCGAAAGAACTTTCCAGACGACCTCACCTAACCTAACACCCTGGGCATTTCTTATCACATTCTACCTGTTTTGATCACCTGCTGGTATTTCTTCTTCTTTATCTTGTTTGTTCACTGTTTGTCTCCCCTATGAGACTGTCAGCTCTATGAGAGCAGGGACCTTGTTCAACACCATGTACACTTGTGCCCAAAGCAGTGTTTGGCACATAGCAGACTCTCATAAAGACTCATTCAATAAATGAATGAATGAGCCATTCATCCGTCAGGTCTCAGCTCCGATGTCTCCTCCTCTTGGAGACCTCCCTGACCCCGTAGGCTGACCCGTGACTGAGTAGCCTAGTATGGAAGGCTGATTGGGGCCAGTGAAATTCGTCTTTTGGGAAGACATTGGCCGTGAGAATTGGGGGTGGTGGGGATGGGTGGAAGACAGGATGGGATGAAATTATGAGTATCAGCAGAGAGCAGAAATTCTGGTAAAGAGTGAGTGCTAAGAGAAGAATTGGACAGACTCGGAATGGCAGGACAGAGACGGGGGTGGGGAGAGTAAGAGGGAGACAATCAAAAAGAGATGAAAGAGTAGCTGGTCCCCAGGCTTGGCCTCAATTCCTGGCGTCTGGGTTTCTGTGCGTGTTTATCTTCCCAATAAACCCCCTTTTCCCTTAGGAAACTTGAATGAGACTCTGCTTCGGGCAACCAGAAACAACCTGGAGCAGACAGTACTCCTGCTGGTGCTCCCACAATGCCCGGGGCCACCTCCATGATTGCCAGCATCACACTGTGTTGTCATTATCCTGTCCCTGTCTGCCACCCCTACAGGACCCTGTGTTCTTTTAAGAGAAGTCCACGGTCTTATTCATCTCCGTGTTCCCAGCGCCCAGCATGAGTCTAGTTCCTAGCAGGCGCTCAGTCAGTATTTATGAACGAGGGATCCTTTTTCTCACCCTCTTGTCCCCAGATCCTGTCCCCCAAGTCACCGGTTCTCAATTCTCCTCCCCTCGCTTTTCTTCTCCACCGGTCACCTGTTTAAGCTCAGCTCGTCCTCATTTCGGGCTTAAAGGCCTCTCCCTCCACGGTTCCGTCCCCAAACTCATCAATTTCTTACTGCCAACGCTTCCTACGGTGGCGATGCTGTTTCCCACCAAACCCTGTTCTCTTCTAAAACACCTGAGCGTAAGCCGGGCACACACCTGGAATCCTCACCTCCCAGTCCTCGGTGCCGCGAGCCCAGGCCCCAAGCAGGTGAGACCTTCAGACTCTAACAATCGGTACAGCGCAAGCGCTAGCCAATCAGAATCGACGTCTAACCAATTTGCACGCGACGCGCCTGTAAACAACCAATAAGGCAGCCCTGGCCGCCCCACGCCATCCCCGCTGTCTCACCTGCCCCGAAGGAAATTGCTTGCTCCCCACTTTCTCTCTCTCCCGCTTTCTCAGACGTGCGGCCGACCCCGCTTCAACCGACCGCGCAAAGGTGTTGGAGCAACGAGGTGGGAGGGTCCTGGGTCCCTGACTGATCACGTGGAGCAACAGAGCCTCCTGAAGACTCATTTCTGGATTTTTTTTTTTTTGAAGATTTTATTTTTAAGTGATCTGGGGGCGCCCTGGGTGGCTCAGTCGGTTAAGCGTCTGCATTCGGCTCAGGTCATGATCCCAGAGTCCTGGGATCGAGCTCCGCATCGGGCTCCTTGCTTGGTGGGGAGCCTGCTTCTCCCTCTGCCTGCCGCACCCCGCCCCCGCCCCGCTTGTGCTCTCTCTCTCCCTCTAATACATAAATAAAATCTTTTTTTTTAAAGTGATCTCTACACCCCCACGTGGGATACGAACTCACAACCCCGAGTTGGAGAGTTGCACGCTCCACAGACTGAGTCAGCCAGGGGCTCCTCATTTCCAGATTGTTAAGTGAGGAAGAACAACTTCTATCTCGTTCTGGCCGCGGAATTACTGGGTCATTTTGTTACTGAAATTCAGCTTATACTTTAGGGAATTTCATCATACCTGAGGTGCCATCGAGTATAGGGTGTATCTCTAGTTTTATGCACCACAAAGAAAGAAAAAAGGGCTGCCGATTAAACCATGATAAGCCATCAATCGTACGGTATATCTTGATTTCTAAGACCTTAAACTGTGGGGAAAAATTCGTCTTAAAATCAGGAAATATCGTAACACACTCACTGTGTCTTGGGTGCTTTTTCCCAATTACCTGATTTAACCCCAGGCAGGAGACCCAAGTATATCCATTTTACAGAAAAGTACACTGAGGCTCTGAGAGGGGACGTGACCCATTTGAGGCTGCTCAGTCAGTGAGTACCCCAGGCAGTCAGGCTCTGGAGCCTTCGCAGAGCCCTCCTACACCAACCCCACTCACCTATGCAGACTCTCCCCTCTGTGGGTGCGGTTCTGGGCACGGCAGTCATGGCCGAGCTCGGGCAGGAAGCCATAGTCACGCAGCAGAGCCTGGGCACCTCTGGCCACGACAGCCACACCAGCGGCCACACGCCGGGCCAGGTCATCCCGCCAGCCAGCCGAGCGCACTGCAAACAGCCCGGCAGGCAGTGGGGCGCCTCCTGGCAGAAGAGGGGGCTCTCCAGGGGCGCCTGAGCCTCCGCCTCCAGCCAGCTGGGGTCCCACCATGAACCAGACGTAGCCAGGCCCCGTGAGGCCAGCCTCCTCAGCTGCCCGGAACACGGGCTCGGCTTCTTCCCGGGCACAGAAGAGCAGGCGGATCTGCGCGCTGACGCTGCGGAGCTGGGCACCCAGCACGGCCTCGCCTGCTCCAGGGTCCAGCGTCAGTGCCCCGCGGTGCTCCCAGCCCACCATGCTGCCATCAGTCAGCACCTCGATGTAGGACAGGAAGGCCCGGTGGCCAGGGGCACGCGTGGTCACCGCTACAAAGGATGTCCAGTCGTACTCCTCCAGCACCTCAAAGATGACCTGGAGCTGCTGCTCTGTGGAGGAGCCCAGCTGCAGGAAGGTGGAGCCCTTCTCCTGCGGGGGAGGAGGAGGATGTCAAGCCTCTGGATGTGGAGACCACAGCTCCCAGCAACCAGTAGGGGCCTTCAGTTCCCAGTGGTCAAGACAGATCTCATCTCCCAGCAACTGATGAGGGCATCCCAGCTCCCAGTGGCCACCAGTATGTCACGGCTCTCAATATGGCAACTGACTAGCTGTTCACCAAACCCCTCTCCTTTCCCTGCTGGTGCACAGAGCTAGGCCTGGGTTAGGTTTTGCCATGTGGCTGAGTTCTAGACTCATCCGGAAAAGCTCTCCCCCATGCACCTTACTCTCTTCCCTGTCTGAGAACAGATGCAGAGGCCCCAGAAGAGAACTCCGAAGTCCTAGGGGATTACAGAGCCATAAGAGGGAGGAGACTGAGTCCCTGAGTCGTCACTTGGAGGAGAACCACCTCTTGTCAGGAACACCTGTTTGGATTTTATATGAGTGAGAAACAACCTTCTATTGGGTTGAGCCACTGAGATGTGGGGGTTTATCTGTTATAGCAGCTAACATTACCCTAGAACACACACAGCATCCAGGGAGGGAACTACAGTCCCCAGCATCCACTGGGAGGGACTACATTTCCCAGCATGCAACGAGGGTGCCGAAGAAGATACCGTCTCTCCCAGCAGGAAGCAGCTTTGCTGAGTGGATTTGCCCTTCTCTGGTCTTCCTCCTGCCTCCCTGACTTCTCCTTCTGTCAGAATTTTAAACACAGAAGTGCTCTAGTGTTCTCTTCTCTGTCCTCCCTCCTTGGTGATCTCATCTAGACCCATGTGTTTAAATACTGTCTTCTGTGCCATCCAATATGGTAGCCAGTAGCCACCCATTTAAATTAATTAAAATTAAGTAACATTTAGTTCCCGGGCTGCACTAACAACATGTCCAGTGCTCAAGAGCCACACGTGGCTAGTGGCCATCATACTGGACAGAGCAGATATAGACCATCTTCCTCATTGCAGAAAGTTCTATTGCCCTGCACTGAATATGTTAATGGCTCCTCTCCAGTCACTGTACCTTTCTCGTGAACTCTGGACAGACCTATCCCCCTTTCTACTCAACATCTCCTCTTGGATTTCCAAGAGGCATCTCAAAATTAGCATGTCAAAAACAGAATTCTCCATCTACCCCCCCCCAACCCAGCCTCAAACCTCTTCCCCAACTTCCTTTCCTTATTCACCCAGCTGCTCGGCTCCCAAGGCTAAATCATCCTTTCCCTCTCTTTCCCTCACGCCCAATCCAGGCCATCTTCTAGTCTTCTCGGCTCTCTGTTCAAAACATAACTCCATTCCTCACTACTGCCCCATCACAACCCTCATTGACCACTGTCTTGCTTAGACAAGTGTAACAGCTTCCTGACCCCTCTCTGCTAACATTTTTGCATCTTCCAGTCCATTCTCCATCAGCAGCCAAATTCATGTTTTCAAAATATTAATTGGATCACATCCCTTCTTGGTTGAAAACCTTCCAATACTTCTACCTTAGAGTCAAAGCCAAAGTCCTCACTTTGGCCCACAGGCCCTGCATGAACTGGCCCTCGTTGCCTCTCTGACCTCATCTCCCACCACCCCCACCTCTCTGTTCTTCCTCAAACACATCAAGTTCCTTCCAGCTTCAAGGGCTTGGCCCTTTGCTGTTGCCTCTCACGGGGACACTCTCCCCTAGCTCCTCCACGCTGGACCTACCACTCCCCATTCCTCCAGTCCAGCTCATTTGCCACCTCCTCGGGGAGGCCTCTCCTGACTGCCATCCTACCCTTCCTCCAGGACAGATTTCACCATCTGTTATTTGCTTTCTGTCTCCCCATTAGAATGCAGGCTCCATTAAGAGCAGGGATCCTGTCTTTTTTTTTTTTTTTTCCTTTTCACAACTGTATTCCACGGAACCTAAAACAGACCCGGCATGGAGTCAGCCCTCAGTGAGAAGAGGAAATGGACTTTCTTCCTAGGTTATGTGTGTAGGAGATAGGGCAGTTGTCCTGAGCGGATGAGGTCTCCCAGCATGCAATGAGAATCCTGAGAGGAACTCATCCTTGGCAAGTGGAGATATGCTGAGGGGACCACTTTCCCAGCATTCCATGGAGGCACGATGGCCCTGTGAGGACCCCTCTTTCTTCCATCCAGAGATACTAGAGGGACTACATTTCCCAAAAGGCAAAGAGTGTACACTGAGCGGGCCACAGGTCCCAGGTGACAATAAACAGTGGCCCACACTTCTCAGCAGCAATGGAGGCAAGAGGAATCACATCTCTCGGTAGGCCACAAAGGCGGCAGCCACGGAGTAATAAGTCCACCTCGAAAGTGATCGGCTTGCATATCTCTGGACAACTCCTGTCTAAAAGAAGAAAGTTGGCCAGAGGCCCTTCCCAGAAGGCTCTGGACAGCAGAGAACTACGAGTCCCAGGATGTAACTGTGACCTAGTCACGAAGCACCCGAAGCCACCGGCCCTCGCAGCAGGGAACAGGTGGGGACTTGGGCTCCACCCACTCAGATGGCCCCATCGGCCCTAGTACCACCTCGGTTACACTGGCTCCAGCCCTAAACAGGCCATGCCCCTTCCCAGGCACCTCCTCCTAGCCTGTCCCTTCTCCTTCTCAGCGCGTACACCAGGCTTGGTCCAATTCTTTCCTTTTCTACCAGAAGTCCACTCCAGCTGGTGTCCCTCGGGCGGCAGGCCTCTTTCCAGGCCACAGCCGGCTCCAGCCTCTTGCCCCCTCTCTCCTGCAGCCTCCTGGGTTTGACTTCTCATTGGCTGGGCCTGCCTTTCTGGTGGGCCTTCATCCTCCCAGGCCCACCCTCCAGATTCTCGCTTTCCACGCCTTACAACTGGGGCATGCCTCTGCCCAAACCCCACTCCCGGGGCTGTTTCCCACTTTAGGCCCCGCCCCTTTAGTCCAGAGCGTAGGCCCTGCCATCTTCCTGACCTCCCTCTGCACCACCTCACCAGCTAGCTCTCCCCTTCCCTGACTGCCCTCGCCCCACTTCCTGGCTGCATGGTTCTGCCCTTCCCCAGCCCATCTACGACCCCTCCCCTTCTCCCACTCCTCCTTTCTCCAGAAGGCTCCGTCCTCCTACCTAGACTTCTAGAGCCCTTGCTCAGCTGGCCGAAACCCTCCCTGCCCCTCAGTACCCTGACCTCCGCGTACCCTCTTTCTTGGCCCTCTCCCTGCCTTCCTGGCTCCTGGCTCCTGACCAGACCTCACCCCTTCCTAAACCCCATTCCTTTCCAACTGACTCCTCCCTTGCTGATCCCCAGATCCCACTCCACCCTCAGAGCAGGCCACCTCTGGCGGGTCCCTTTTTGTTCCCAGTCCCCGCCCCTCGCTGCCCTTCCCCGCTTCTTCTCCAGATTCCATTCCCTCCCCTGACTCCCTCCTCCCGCAGACCCTCAACCCTCCGCATACTCTGAGCATGACTGGCCCCTCTCTCACCCTGCTCCTAGGTCAGTCCCCAGGCAGGCTCCCAGGCTCCGCTCAGCCTATAGGCCACGCCCCCCAAGTCAGCCCCGCCCCTCACCTAGCCCCGACCCTACCTTCCGGCCCCACTCCGTCCCAGATGCGGACCCTCAGGCTTGGCCCCGCCCCCCGCGGCTGGCCCCGCCCCCCGCAGGTCGCGCGCACCTTGGGCGTGAGCACGAGCGCGGCGCCGCCGTGCACGGCCACGATGGGCAGCGAGGTCTGCGCCGACAGGAAGTCGAGGATGGGCGCGACGGCGGGCGCGCGCGAGTCGTCCTCGAACACGACGCCGTGCACGCGCAGCCCCGACAGCAGGTCGCAGAGCTGCAGCACGAGGCTGCGCGGGTCCGAGCCGTTGAGCACCAGCG